GCATCTCTAAGAATTATTTCTGTAGTAATATATGGTTATTGCCCATCTAAAGTCAGAATTAGGTTTTCACTTGAATAACCCCAAGATAGGGTTGGAGTACCACAACGGCAAATGGCGCGGCCAACAACGGGCATATACAGCAAGCAAGGATTTCACCTTGTACTCTAGAGCACAACCACCCATGAGAGAGAGAGAGAGAGAGAGAGAGAGAGACACAAGTCCACAAGCAAATTATCCATAATAGCCACTTTAGTTTGCCGTCGAATTCTCTGCTGGTATGAAGGGTTCTGTAGGCAGTGGTGGATCTAGAAATCAATTCATAGAAGGGACTCAAGTCACTGTGTGAACATCTAGAGCTTCTTCTTTCTCTCTTTCATGTCTATGAAAATTTATGAAAGCCTGCCCCACTAGTATATAGATCCGCCCCTGCCTGTAGGCTATTGACGACCTAGTTAGATCAAGCTCATCTGGTCTCAAAAAACAAGTTGTTTTAGATTATCATAATTAAGTTTTTAACTATTTTGACCCTGATGTCCACCAATGTTAAATTAAATTCAATAAAAAATAGCTTATTTGCAGCTTGCAAGCGCAAGGTTAATGCTATTACATTCACCACGAAAAAATATAATAGACTCCCGTTATCTTTTAAAAAACATATCTTTTACCAAAAAAAAAAGATAGTAAACGATCCACGTTACAGAATACGTCAATGTGTTAAGAACAAAGTTGATTCAAATCTGCATTACTTCTGCTATGAGTAATATATTAATAAGTTATTAGGAGCTACTCCTTTTAAGATAAGGAGTCTCTTCGCTGGTTAGTTTCTAAGCTAATAAACCTGGCTGGTGCTGATGTGTTGTGAGAAAAAAATACTGTTGGCTGATTGATAAGCCCTGGCTGAAACCAGATCTGAATTCAAACTCAACTTGATTCGACAGGACATGAACATTGAACAGACAAGGAAACCAATGGACCTAGTAGTAGCTAGGAAAGAAACTGGAAAGCGTAGGAGCAAGAGCAATGGTGTCGAGGGGGAGTAATTAGCTGAGAAGAAATGGAAGAAATGGCTGCAAGAAATGGAAGACACGGAATCCAATTACTGAGAAGTTCAGAATGCATGCTGCAACCATGGCTGCACGAGCTCGAGGTAAATACTGTACATATATAGGCCTGCGGTACGCAAAGGCAAAGTTTACTGCTACCTCGCTCGCTACGTCACGTACTACTGACGTGCTTACTCGTACGTTAATATACATGTAATTACTGTCTTCCGTAAAAAGAAGATGCAATTATGATTTGAGATTGGGTTAAACCTTTTTAAGTTTAACTAGGTTTATGCTCTTCTGCTTCTCCTTTCTAAAAAAACTTGATATTTTAGAATTTAAAATTTATCGTAAAAAATTTATAAGAGCAAGAACTGCATAGTGCTATGCTGCTGCTCTAGGCTAGCTACGCGTATGTCCATGTCCATCATCCATCCATCGAAGTGTGACGCGTGCTGTCGCTGATCCGGCTGCTGGCCCTGGCCTGACGCCCGAAGTAACTGAACAACTAGCAATATACACAGTAGGAACACGTACGTTGCCGACTAGCAATATACACAGTAGGAACAACTAGCAATATGAGTACATCGAAGTGTGACTCGTCACACCCTACTCCTACCCCTACTCCCTACACAAACTGGCCGCAGCTCCGGGCTGCGTGTGTTTGTGTGAGATCGAGTACCTACGATGTGATGCTCCTGACTCCTGTGACCACCAGTAGATGGGCCTTGTTTAGGTTGAAAAAAATTTCAACCCCATGAATAGTAGTATTTTCGTTTTATTTGGTAAATATTGTCTAATCGTGGATCAACTAAGTTCAAAAGATTTATCTCGTGATTTCCAACTAAACTGTGCAATTAGTTATTTTTTTACCTACATTTAATGCTCTATGCAAACGGCTAAAAATTGATGTGATGGAGAGAGAGTGAAAAAACTTAGAATTTTAAGGGTATCTAAACAAGGCGCTAGCTAGTTGAATGCCTTGTCCTCATCTGATCTCTCGATGCGTATGTAAGTATATGTACATGTACGTACTGCATGGCCGGCATATATGCAGATTTTCAGAAAGATCAGAAATTCTCATTATTGCTATATGATGCCGGTTCTCGCCGCCACATTCCGTCGCTCGCAGCTAGTAGTAATGGCTAGCTACTCATTGCTCATCATTGTTCCATTTCCATATCCTTTTGGCCTGCTTTGGCCTAACTTGAGATTGCCGTCCGTTCTATTCCGGAGATTTATTTAATTATTCACAAACACACCCTTTTTATATGTAGATGGCCCATCCATGACGAGTGGTTGTCGAGAGATGACCGAGCTTTGATTTAGAAGGTGTTTGGATTCAGTGATTAAAGTTCAGGAGGTGTTACATGGGAGTGTCGTATGGGGTGTTAGGATACTAATAAAAAAATAAATTATAGAATCCGTTGGTAATCTGCGAGATGAATTTATTAAGCCTAATTAATCTGTTATCAGCACATGTTTACTGTAGCACCACATTGTCAAATCATGTATTAATTAGGCTTAAAAACCGTCTCGCAAAACAATCTCAATTTGTGTATTTAGTTTCATAAATAGTCTATACTCCCACGGTCCCATAATTCTTGACGTTCTAGGACTCAAAACTTGTCCAAGAATGCTTAACATTATCAGCTTGTTCGCTGGTTAGTTTTTGGGTTAATAAACTTAGCGGGTGCTGATTTGCTGTGAGAGAAAAACATTGTTGCCTGATCGCAAACCAATGATGTATAGCTCCTATTCTAGGCCAATCAGACATCAATCATCCGTCATCCTGTCACTTCCGTCCACTAGTAGCCTAGATGCTAACAGTGAACTAGGCCTTGTTTAGATTAGGGTTATAAATCAGTATTTAGCACTGTAGCACTTTTGTTTGTATTTGACAATTATTGTCCAATCATGATCTAACTAGGCTCAAAAGATTCGTCTCGTAATTTAGAATCAAACTGTGTAATTAGTTATTTTTTTATCTATATTTAATACTTCATGCATGTGTCAAATATTTGATATGATGGAGAGAGAGTGAAAAAACTTGCAATCTAAACCAGGGCCTTGTTTAGATTGCAAATTTTTACAATCTGGACACTGTAGCACGTTTCGTTTGTATTTGATAAACTTTGTCCGATCATGGACTAACTAGGCTCAAAAGATTCGTCTCGTGATTTACATCTAAACTGTGCAATTAGTTACTTTTTTTTATCTACATTTAATACTCCATACATACATCTAAAAATTGATGTGATAAAGAGATAGTGAAAAAACTTAAAACTTTGATGCAATCTAAACCAGGCCCAGGCCTTGATAAAAAAAAATTCCAGCATTGGATGGTGAAGCTCTGCAGGGGCGCTGGTAGAGCAAGGAGAGCAATTAATTCACACGTCATTTCAAATTTCCAGCAGCTGTCATAATTACTTTGTAGCGATATAAGCGTCTTTTAGCTTAGGCCTGATTTGGTTCTCAAAATTTTTCACCCTAAACTATCACATCGAATCTTACGGCACATATATAGAGTATTAAATATAGACAAAAAAAACTAATTGCACAGTTTAGTTGAAAATCACGAGACAAATGTTTTAAGACTAATTAGTCTATGATTAGCCATAAGTGCTACAGTAACTAATATGCGCTAATGATGGGTTAATTAGGCTTAATAAATTCATCTCGCAGTTTCTAAGCGAGCTATGTAATTAGTTTTTTTTATTAATATCCAAAACCCTCTTCCGACATTCCAAAACATCCAATTTGACATCCACAAATTTTCATTTCACGACCTACACACAGCCTTACCGTTTCCAATCCCAGAACGTTAATAATTATGGGACAGACGGAGTAATACTCCGTACATACGTCTGGCCACCGCTCCAGCGCTCCTGTATTTAATAATTACGGATGCAGCAGGCCTCGCTCTCGTACGTAGCTTATATTAATCCCACGTGTTACACTACGTTCAGACACACATCATTTGTTGCTGCCGCCTGCACCAGATACCGCGCAGCTGCAGGTAGCAGGACCAGCTGTTCATGTATTGTTATTGTAAATAAATACACATATATGACTATGATGGTGATGATAATGACGAGGTGTGTATAGTCCGTACTATTACCTGTACCTGGGAAACATACAATTAGCCGCGGATCCTCCAAAAATTTTAGAGGGGCTAAACAAAAGTGTTTGACAGCAACATATCTTCGACTGTTGTTCGATCTTGAGTCTCAGCTCAACCTACATAATATAACTTTGTCTAAAAACTCAGGGGCTCCAAGGCTCTGGTATCGATAGGATACAATAACTTACTAACAGCGTATGCATGCAATTCAAAGATGATGCATGCATGCATGATGCAATGTCGACAGTCGGCACGGCCCAAATTTTTTATTTTTTAGTTTTTTTTAAAAAATATTCACAAATAGACTTATGGTGATTTGATTTTCGTTTATGGATCCTGACCTCGGCGCCATGGCTTTTGACGTCGAGGAAACACGTCTTGGCGCCATGGCCAATGACGCCGAGGTCTTGGTGAGGCGTCAGACGTGGCGGTGACCTGACGCCGACGTGAATAATGCCTCGGTGCCGTAGATCTTGGCGCCGAGCTATTACCCTATAGATCTTGGCGTTTGAAATAAAACAGATATAATTATTCCGAAGAACGTGCAACAACGCCGTTGCGGTTCAGTCGGACGCGCGCAGCTTAACTCAAAGGCCTGAGATCGAACCCAGCGCTGAACATTTTTTTTGCTACATTTTTATAAGCATTTTCATGGCCTTCTCCACCAATCCGGCAGCGGTGGAAGAGAAGGTGGAAGCGGAGGACGAGGCTCTCCCCACGCCGTCGCCGGCGGCGGGGATTGGTGTGATGTGAGCCACGAGGAGTGGCGGCGCTGGGGCACCTCCTCGCCGCTCCCGGCCGCGGTGGCCGGTGTAATCCACGAGCTGCTCGAGATGGAGGCCGCCGCCGGCGAGAAGATGCGCTTCGGCGGCGTCGGCTCCAAGCTCAAGGTGACGTCATCTTCCTCCCTTATTGTTTTATTTATTACCATTTACTAACCCTCAGATTTTGGAGATTCTTCAGGCTTCCGTGCGAGCGCAGTGCATCTTGGTTTGATTTCTTCTGGATTTTGCAGGGCAATTTCAAGGACGTGGAGGACGAGAAGCACAGGGCTGTCTACGAGAGGCTCGCCGACTCCGACCAGAAGCTGCAGTACTTCTCCGCGCGGCAGATTGGCTGCCGTTTGCTAGGGTGCAGAGGGTATCTGTGCCAGAAGGTACTGTGGTGTCCAACCTGAGCTATGCAAGCGCTTGAACAGTGCTGCAAAACAATGCAGCGATTTTAATTTCCACTAGGCTGAACCCTGATTTACTGGCATTTTACCCTTCTTGATTCCTCTCCTTCCCAGAGTGTGGTTAAGTGATCCGTCTGTCTCTGAAATTGCAGTGCTGGCTACCAACTGAAGACTGTACGTGCACAAATATTGTTCCTTGCAATCTTTGGAAGGAGATGAAATTATGGCTATACATGCACCCAAAGGTCTGTCCATAGAGGGTTGTGCAGTACTCTCTTATGTTTCCTCCTATTATGTGTAACCATCCTTATTTCTCAAACATATAAATTGTTGAATGATATTGTTTTAAGAGCTTGCTAGACTTTGATTTAGTCATTTTTCTGTTTGGTAGTTTAGATTAGCTTTCACTTGCTGCGATTGATCCTCTCAAGAGTTGTAAATTTCTTGTTTGATGAGCAAAGCATACTTTGTCAACTAAACTCACCTAGTATATTGAATCCTATTTAGGAAAGAGGCACGTAATAATGCTTTTAGATCTGTGATTTTGCTGGTTATGCTGTCATTGCTTAATGACTTAAAGGATATGGAAACAATGCAAATAAGAATCATGCTAATAATTTGATTACCAAAAGTTGGGCATGTGCTAGCTTAACCCACAGCTCTAAGTAGCGGCGTTGATAACTTTGATAGTCTCCATTATCATTGGTCATAGGTCTATGTGACATCCGGTCCACTTTGGAATTTGGACCATATAGGCCCATGTGTATATGTTGATGTGAGATTGTGGGGATCAGTCCCACCTTGGTTTTTGAGTATGAGTTAGACTAACATATAAGGCCTCTAGATTGGGAGGGGGCTTTGTTGGATCTATCGCTCTGCCTCTCCTCGCCTTACTGGGTGAGGATAGTTGTTTGGTACAGCAAAAGACCCTTGCTTTGCTGAGCAATCTCGCATGTCATGGCAAGGTTTTCCCTGCCAGCGCAGGAGAGCCAAATCAGCAAGCTCGGGAAAGGTCACGCGACGTTGGTTCTTGTTTCCTTCTCCCTCTAGTCAATCGAGAAGATGACCTCGAAATCGTCACCTGCAGCTGATTTGTAACATCTCTACAACTAAAACATACGGATTGTCAACATCTACCTGGCAGGACCAAAACACTCATGCGATCCATGACTATCCGGCATAAAAAAATCTCCTTGCAATCCATGACTACCCGACGCAAAAAAGGAAATTCCCCCAACCCCTGCATGGCTGCTCTTTCTGGCTCTATCCCGCGCTCCTCCCTCACAGGTTCCTTCGGGTCTTTCCATGCATGAATGCATGCACGTGCACCCCGCTCAAACATGCAGCCGCGGTATTTTTATCTTTTTGACAAATCCAGAAAGCACTGATCACGAAAAAAATCAACAATAAGGGAAATGTTAACGTCCACCGGCAGGACGTTGCTGTGCCCGATTGTGTGCACCCCAGCGCTCCAAGATCTACGATATTTTTTCCTTTCAAGGAAAATCGGACAAATCACAGGAAAAAAACAACAATCAAATATTGATGCCATCTATGTGCATCCCTATCCACAACCACGCCTCCGGTCAGCTATCACAATTCACAAACGAAGAGGGTTAGTCAAAGAACTTAGGTTATGCTTTACTTCGACAAAGAATAGAAGGCGAATACCCTATTTTTCTGCTCATCAAACTTATTGAATAAAATCAAATAAAAAGGCCATCAAAGCTTCTGAATTTTAGAATGAATCTAAGGTATTCGATTTTATTAGGTTTTATTTACTGCCAAGAAGACTGAAAAGAGGTATGATTATTTATTGCATAAGCAAGTAAAATTTCCTTTGTATGATAATCTTTAGAATACATGTTTTATATTATATTATATACAACTAAAACATATGGATTGTCAACATCTATCTGGCAGGACCAAAACACTCATACGATCTATAACTATCTTTACAACTAAAACATACGGCTTGTCAGCATCTATCCGGTAGGACCAAAACACTCATGCGATCCATGACTATCCGGCATAAAAAACATCTCAATCAATTTATGTTGCACCCGTTGCAACGTACGGGCACTCATCTAGTGACATATAATAATGTATGGACTAATTTGGAATATTCAACATATTTTAAATGAACGTGTCACTTGTATTACCTCTTTCACAGTGGGTTGTCGTGTTTATGAGAAATGGAGATTGGGGCCTGTAACTGTCCATATTTACTGACATTAAGGATTCTATGGTTCTGTTAATGTAGTTTTCACATTGAAATTCTGTGCATTGTTTGTTCTTTTCTGTTTGCATGTGCTCCTTTCTATTTTGATCACTGTGAACTGTTCTATTGATGCATTGTATGCTTGACCTGGTCCTAACAGCTTGAAACTGCATCCTTTGATGCATTGATTATCTATGGTACAAATTGATATTTCATATAAACGAATGCAGATTGCAGAATGATTTAGTTTTGTATGATCTGCAGAAGATTTCTGCACTAATCAATCATTCAGCATAAGTCATATTTCTATCTTCAGCTAGGACATGTGTTTTTTTCCTTCTCTTCATCGTTAAATGTCTCCCATCCATTCTGATGTGGTGTTCGTTCAGGAAAGGGGAAGATCTCAGTTCTATATCCAAACAAGAGTAGCACCCCCAAGTCAGTTAAAGACCTTGAATTTGATGGTTTGTCCTTGACTGCTGACTAGCAAATCCTTGACCAAAAACCATTCAGAACAATCCAAAAGCAGACTACAGTTGGATTGATGTAGAATAGGGTTGGGTTGCAAGGCACTTGCCACTATCCAATCAGGAGTTTTAAGATTGGGACTCCAAATTACCAAGTAGGTAGGTTCACATGTGAGAAACAGGTAGCTAAATATGACTTATATCTGTTATCTTGTACAGGAGAGATGGACTGCAATATGGGGAGATGAAGATATACCTTGTATCGCACTATCTACACTTGTTGCCTCAGTGATGCATAAACTACGGTGAGCTAAAAGCTTTATTTGTTCTTATCGTCTCCTTCATTTGTCATAACCTTTTCCCCCTTTTCAAATGCTTATCTGTGGATACTATGTTCCTTCATAAACTGAACAGACCGCAGCCTGCGTGGGATCGTACCTGCACTGCGGCAGCTGCAGCTGTCCTCCTCTGGGAGTTGAACTTGCGGCCTGAGCTCAGCGCATGTGAGTTGGAAAAGCAAACTGAGGCAGTGGAGTGCTCGTTGGATATCTCGCTGGATGCTCTCTCTTACATAATCTACTGTTACCTGGTATGAATATAATAAGGGAAGGTGACGTCGAAAGGCTCCCTGCTTTATTTCTTTAGTCGTTGTAGGTGCAGATGCCGCACGGCTCACCTGCAGCACTGTAGGCATATGCAGAGACCGGCGCAGAGTTAGCCCTGTATATTATCTAGTCACTGTTATAGCAGGGCAGCTGTACTGGGAATAGATGGATAGAGTTGTATAAATAGACTACCACGGTAACTCAGTAAAGAGAGTTAAGATTTGCGCTGGTGTCTTGTACTGTGTGTGTATGCTCTGTTCTTCCTTCTTCTTCTAGCTCTAGCCATAGTGTGTGGGGACGGATAACGCTTGTTCGTGGTCGGCACAGCTAGTGGGTGCTCGGCAACACTAGCGGGCCGGGTGCTTGGCAAGACTGGTGAGTGGTTCACTCACCTGAGCCGGTGATCCTGTGGGCCAACACTCTCGCTGCCAGGCGGGTTCGTCTGGGCCGATCAATCACTTGAAAACAGAGACATAATAAAAATTAACTGCATATAGGGAAACAAACTCACGGTAGCAGGGAAGCATGGTATGCCCTTCAAGTGGAAGGCTGATTTTCATTCTTTTTGCAGAACTTAGGAGCTGATCTCAGCTTGTCAAAGAGTTTTTCCTTTCTTTTTAGGTCACTAAATCTTCAGTTCAGTGCTGTAGATTTTTTTTAATGGTCACTGACGTGAGCTGTTACTGCTAATGTTGAAGAAAAATTTTGGATTCTCACAAAAGTGGTTCAATAACCTTTTTGATTTAGCTCTCGGTTTTGACAATTTTTGGCCCATTCTCTGTCATATGAAGGTGAGCCCAAGCAAGCGAGCGAACCATAAGAGTATTCACAACTACAAACATAAAGATGTTGAGTTATAAACTCTGAAATGTATCAAATATACAAGGGGACGCATATTCTGCCAATATCAGTGCACTCAAGCTTGGGTTAGGCCTGGTTTAGTTGGTGAATTTTTTTTGGAAAGGGTACTGTAGCACTTTCGTTGTTATTTAGCAATTAGTGTTCAATCATAATCTAATTAGGCTTAAAAGATTCGTCTCGTGAATTTCGTCTAAACTGTGTAATTAGTTTTATTTTTTATTTATATTTAATGCTTCATGCATGCGTCTAAAGATTCGATGTGACGAAAAATCTTAAAAATTTTGCAAAATTTTAGAAACTAAACAGGCACTTATTGTAGTACTAGCAGAATGCAAGTAAACCGTGAGGTACAGAACTAGCCTGACAAAGGCAACCGCCTCCCTGCCTAATAACTGATCCTAAATGTTCAGTATCACCAAATGGCATCAGAGCATCATCTATGCAAATCTAAGTTTGTAAGCAGGCTTTGCAGGTTGGATTTGTGATGGAATCAAGTTGTTTCTCAGGCTTGCTGCAGCTGCAGCGCTGCTGCAGCAAGCAGTACCGATGACCCAATACGTCAGACAGCTCACAAACAATCCTCGCGTCCTCTCTTTCTAGTCGTACCCAACATGCTCCACCTCGCGCGCGTGCGGCGTCCAGCCGCCGGCGCCGGCGTCTCGCCCATCCACGCGACCCGACCGCCTCCCGCGCCCTTCACAACCACCACCACCTCCACCAGCGATACCTCTTCGTCCACGGCCGCCGACCCGGACGGCGTGGCCGCGGACGTGGCCACCCTCCTTTCCCGCTGCTCCGGCGACTGGAAGCTCGCCATCGCCGCCTCCGACCTCCCTTCTCGCCTTTCTCCCGCTGCCTTATCCTCCCTTCTCCGCCGCCGCAACTCCTCCCCTCGCCTCCACCCCAAGCTCCTGCTGGATTTCTTCTACTGGTCCCGCACCCGCCTCAGCTCAGTTCGATGGAATCGACCCAATCAATGCTGGAGTCAGAAGCCTTGCTGCACTTAGCTTGCACATGATGGTTATGCTTGCACATGATGGTTATGCTGCGTTTTTATATGATATGAGAAGAGAGCGACTGAGCGACTGAGTCAGGAAGCCGAAAAATGCTTATAAAAACGTAGCAAAAAAAAATTCAGCGTAGGGATTAAAGCCCAAGCCTCGTGCGTCCTAAACAGCTGAACTACAATGACGTTGTTGCATGTTCTTCGAAACAATTATACTTGTTTCATTTCAAACGCCAAGATCTACGACGCTGAGCTCGGCATCAAGATCTACGGCGCCGAGCTCGACGCCAAGATTTATGACGCCAAGGCATTGTCCACGTCGGCGCCAGATCACCGCCACGTCCGACGCCTCTCCAAGACCT